TTAAGTTCCTAAGAACACTTTTACGAAGTTTAAACTTACAATACATTTCCATTGAATAATTTTCAAAATTATAAAAAAACTCAAAAACTCACCTCCTTTAAAAAAAACTCAAAAAGATTACGTATCTATTTTTAAACTAAAAATTGCAATAAAATTTCCGAATTCCTTGTAATATGTATTCATTACTTATGAATGAACATAAAAGAAAAACTAAACTATTTAGACTACAACCAAAACTAACACACATTGCGCAAAATAAAAAAAAGGACCACCCTGAATGATTTTTGAACTAATGATCATATTTTCACGTTCTATAAATTAATCTCAAGATTCGAATGGGTGACCTCAAATATGCAAATTATGTAGGGCAGACGATATCTGACTTTACGAAATCAGAGACAAGAACGCTTTTTCTATAATAACATGCCTTTTTTGCTTGGAAATATCTAACGAACTTTAAATTGTGTGTAAAAGTTTTTCAATTCCTTTAAGTGGTTCTCGAGATATGGTGAAATATGCAAAAAGTAAAATTTAGGGATGCAAACTTTAGAGCGCTCTCCTGATCAAACTTACACGACCATATTTCCCGGGTTGCAGTTACCCCCTATATTTTGAGGGTAAGAAATCCGAATCCGTCGAGAAAAAGGTATGTTTATTCAGGGAAGTACGTTTTTGTGTCTAATTTCGCAACTTAAAATATCGCATGCACAAATCAATTAGTATATTTGAGATCACATCCTTGTACCATTAAAATAGAGTCTTGGAACATGAAGATCTGATCATTGGATCAAGGGTTATTAAGGTTGGTTGGTTTTTTATTAAAAATTATTGCAATATCATATTTTTTCCTTGTTCAGGGTCGATAATTTTATAAATAAACGTTTATTATAACATCATTTATGAATACTTTAAGGATTTGATACAATTGCAATCACAATCGCACCCTTATAACTTTAAACTTAATTCGAAAAACAAAAGAACTTCTAAATCAACCATGAAACAATTTTTGTTTTTCAATGATAAATTCTCCACCGGATTTGATTTGATTGAATTTAATGAAGAGTTTAAGGGCAAGAAATCCGAAATTGGATTTGATTGAATTTAATGCAGAGTTTAAGGGCAATAAATCCGAAATTGGATATGTTATGTTAAACTTGATTGATTTTAGATACTTAAGGAAAATTGCTCAAACAAAAAACTTAAACTGTCCAAAGAGAGAGATCATGGTCGGGGGCGTGGGAACCGTGTTGAGCAAAAAAAATCCTGTTAGGCTAATTTATTGAGTAACACTAACCTCTATTAGAGCTTTAGACAGAGGAAAATAACGATACTCAACCATAACTTAGCTTACAGAAATAAGGATATAATCTTGCACCTGTCAATAAATTAGGATTACTATGTTGTGTGGTCCAGACAACTGTTTGTGAGTTCATTTCCGAAGTCTGAAAGAGAGTCGTCAGCTACAAAATCTATAGCTTTATTCCCTTAGAAAGAATCAATAATAAGTTTTTAATTTCTCATATTACTCATGACATGTTTTTCTTTTCGAAATAGAAAGTATATTGAAAAGTCTGAAAACTGTTTTGGACTCATATTAAAAGTCAGTATACCTATTGAAGAGTTTTCTGAATCCTAAAAATACAAACAGCGGCAGAATATAGTTAGTAATATTTAATTTTAATAAAAAAAAACTTACTCGTATCTCACATTTAATAACTTAACTTTTTACATAAATGATTAGAAAACTTATTCTTAAAAAAATTAACCCTTTTAGAACTAGTGTAATTTTAAAGCAGCTCAACCGTGGGTGATTTTTCCTAATTCCGTAATTTCTGGTTTAAGGTTTCTTAACTTATTTACAACTAGCACAGCAAAACCACTTTTTTTTGTTTGCAACATTTTTTCTTGTTATATAAGGAATTAGTTTTTTCCAATGCTTGATTCAGGAGTTCGCTTGTCTTTTGGGTTGTGTTCAAAATTACAATGCCACAGAGTTGAACATTATTATTCGTTAACTCAGAATTGGGCCGGCTGTTCAAAGCCGGTCATAAAATAAAATAATATTGCATGACAGTATAACTATACTCAGCGGCGCGACAGCCCATAGAGGGCCAAGGCCTACTGTCCCCATTTCAGTTTTCTTGACCTTGGGAGCTTGGGAGCCCAAGCGTTTAGTTTCCAAGGACGCTTGGTATTCATTTACTGACCGACTGAAGGGATGAAAGGCTGAGTCAAACTTGCCCGGTCCGAGGATCGAACCCAGAACCTGTGGCACGGGAGCGCGAAGTACTACCATTCAGCCACCGGGCGTCTGCACGACAGTATACGAAACCGAATTCGCTGTTTTAATGTATTCTTAAGATTGTGAGGTTTAAGAACTTCCTAAACTTCTAAAAAGTTCATAAAGGCTATAGGTTATCAAAGGGTACACAAGACGATAAAAATTAGTAAAATCGTCAGTTTCCACTTTTTTATTCCGTTAAAACTTCTTAATCAGATCAACTCAAGCATGAATCATCAAACTGCTAATACAGACGCACTAATCATGCATACTTTTCTGACGCGAAAATTTTTTCAATTTCTTTTTAAAAAAATAATTTAAAAATGAAGGTAAAAACTACATTTTTTCTTGCTTTATTTCACGATTTTAAATTACTTTAATAAGGAAAGGCAATCTTTTTTCTGTGCTCTTAGTTCTACGTGAAATATTAAAAAAAAATAACTCATACACTCTCTATATATCCATTATAATGGTTGAAATATTATCGATCTAAGATAAGAACGTCCTATTTTTTACAACTTATACGAAATAAAAATAGAAACATCTATGTTTTATGAGGATTATAAAAAAAAACAATATAACCTTAATAAGTTTTTATAAAGTAGGAACCACCAAATTGAAATCGACTCGAAAAAATAAATAAAAAAGACTAAATAAATTGGTCCTGTCCCAGGTATACCGATCGATTCAGCACCCTTAACCATTTCGTTCGAAAAATGAATTAGAAGCTTCGGTGAACTATGGCAGTTTGATAACTCCATTAATTTTGTTATTTTATCGTGAGGTCAATTAGATATTTTTTTACGATATTTCTTTTAGATATAAAAATAACTTAACAGCTTCATAGAAACAATAGAAAACACTTGTCCTTTTCTTTTATTTAACCTTTCTTATGAAAAATGAAATGTCTGGAAAAAGTTTCTGTGTAATAGATATAAGAGAATTTATATTTATAAGAGTCATGGTTATGCCATCGGATAACTTTTTTTTAAAAAAATATATGGTCAGTTTTTTGGGTGTGAAACTTTCACAATTCTTGGCAATCTGTAATTTATTTTCAAAAATTAGTTACATTTTCCATTTCTTTTTATTTTATAAACGTCGTTAAACAGCCGACCCAATTTTCGATAACCAATGTTCAACTCCTTAGCCTTGTAATTTTGAACCCAATCCAGAAGACGAGGTAACTCCCAGATCAGATATTGTTGGGAAATTTGCCTTCGTGGAGGATTTTTTGAGGGAACTAAATGCACTAATTAACTTATTGCAAATGCATGATAGACTTAACTAATTTCAAATTTTGATGGAGCATTTGTGCTACAAGGAGAGAGAAATTAAGAAGACATATCATGGTTAGCCCTGTAGCAATGGGACTCTAACCTATGATCCGTCTACCACTGAGGATATTTTACATCGGCTCAATGGTCGGTGCGAGCCGGGTGCAGAAAGCGTATCGACCAGTCATCGCTGGGATTTGAACTCGGTTCGCCTCATTAGAAGGCGAAAGCACTATCCCCTGAGCCTGAGCTCTATTTCTTTTTATTGAAAAATTTTAGAAAATCAATTACTTACAAAACTGATTAAAAAAATAAAATATTATGATGCGATCGAAACACGAATTTGTGAGGCACTTTTTAAAAACTTAAATTTCAAATAGATTTTTTCTGAAAATTGAGTTTCATTTTCTTTCTTCTTGCCAATACTTATTAACTTCTTAGTGTCTTTAAAGTTAAAATTGTTCCTTTCAATTTATGCATTTCCAATTTTTATATTTTCATTGAATAGTTTCTGTGATTTTTTCTCCCCAAAAGAAAATGAACTATGGGAGTATACAGTCAAAACTCACTAAAGTTATACATACTGCCTTTTTTTCTTTTTTCTCTGAAAAAAAAATCGTATAGTTTAATTTTATTATTAAATGAAAACCATCGATACAGCAAAAAATTACATGAAGTTGCAAGAAATTTTATTTTGGGCACTGTTGTTTTTTATTACATCCCATTTATAAGTTTATAACAACTTATTAAGTATGTAAATAATCAACTTTTTGTTATAAACCTCCGAATGCACTCGAAAAAAATCGATTACCAAACATCACTGTTTATAATATCCGCCAGATAAACTATAAACATTATAGACAATAAGACAATATAAAATTATGAACTTACTTATTATTTTGAACCAGAATAAAAGACAACAAATAACATAATACATAATGGTAGTTAACTATTTGATTTGTAGAGATACGGTTTTGAATGGATTGGAAATGTTTATTTGTTGATACACAAGCTTGTATTTTATTGAAGTTACATACATTTGCTGACTTGTGTGCTCAATATAGGCTTATAAGTCATTGTCAAGTAGAAAATACAGATAGAACAATTCAGAGAAAGACATCACAAAGAATACATCCAGGGTTACGGCGGGATTCGAACCCGCTACCTCCACGCTTAACAGAGCGTTTGGACCGGCGATACCGCTCGGCCAGGGAGGNATTACGTGAAGTTGCAAAAAATTTTATTTTGGGCACTGTTGTTTTTTATTACATCCCTTTGTTAAGTTTATAACAACTTATTAAGTATGTAAATAATTAACTTTTTCTTACAAACCTCCGAATGCACTCGAAAAAAATCGATTACCAAACATCACTGTTCATAATATCCGCCAGATAAACTATAAACATTATAGACAATAAGTTTATATAAAATTATGAACTTACTTATTATTTTGATGCAAGAACCAGAATAAAAGACAAGAAATAACATAATACATAATGGTAGTTAACTAGTTGATTTGTAAAGATACGGTTTTGAATGGATTGGAAATGTTTATTTGTTGATACACAAGCTTGCATGTTCAATTACATATTGGTTTATTGGATTTACATACATTTGCAGGCTTGTGTACTCAATTTAGGCTTATAAGCCTTTGTCAAATAGAAGAACAGATAGCACATAACAGGGAATTACAGCACGAAGATACATCCAGGGTAACAACGGGATTCGAACCCGCTACCTCCACGCTTTGCACAGCGTTTGGTGGGCAATACTGCTCTGCCAGGGAGGCCCCCTCAATTACATAAGTACTGCTTATAAGCAACTGGAAACGATCTCTTAACTATTCGCTTTATTTTTTCTAGTCCCGCAATGGACTGATCGTAAAGACACGATTCCCAACAAAACACCGAAGTCAAACATCTCTGGCTGCGGTCAGTAAGCGGGTGGGTGATCACTTTGATCACCCTTCGTAGGGACCGATAATGGGCGGTATCGGTCCTAGTTAAATTGTTCTACTGTAAAGTGCTCGACTTCGATCCTCTGAAGAGGATCAAAATTATGATGACATGTCTCAAGGATGTTTCCTAGACCACCGCCAATAGCCAAATGTTCAGCTTTAGTGTGACGTAAACAAAGTACATACGAACCTATTTATTTCTAAACGCTTTTATAGCCTTCCTTGCTCTCGCTGTTCCGCCAAAAACTCTATATTTTTTAAAGTAACGAGTTCGAATCTCGCCATAACCCTGCATGTATCTTTTTCATGTGGGTCACGTGTAGTAAAACTTAAAAAGGGCTTAAAAGCTGTAATTTGTATTGAGTAGATAAATCTCCACGTGTATTTGTAACAATAAAATAAATGGGGCTCCCTGGCAGAGCACTGTCGCTTCTCCATTGTGGAGGTATCTGGTTCGAATCCCACCTGAGCTCTGGATGTATTTTTGAGCTGTCCTATTCTAAATCATGCTGTCTGTTCCTCAACTTTGCATAGGCTTATGAGTCGTTCTTTGTATTGCGTACTCAAGCCTGCATACGTATGTGTAACATTGATGTGATACCTGGCCAAGCGGTCTCGCCGACCCACTAAACGCTAGGCAGTAAGCCGCGGTGGCCCCCAATGTGGTGAACCAGGTTCAAATTGCACCGGTGGCTGGTTGATAAGAGTTCAAAAGTGCCAGGGTATGGAGTTGAATATTGATAGTCGTAAACTCAGAATTCAGTCGGTAGTTCAACGTCAGTTAGAAAAAAAAAATAAAAAGCGCTTTGTAGTATGGAGATAAGTTAGCAACCAAGGTTACCGCGGGTTCGAATCCCGCTGTTTACCCTGGCTTTATTTGTGATATCTTTCACTTCTTCGCACTATATGTTCTTAAATTTGGCATCAGGTTTCAAACTCTCAATTTCGTCTAAAGATGAGGGGGAAAAATTGATCTGAAGAGTAAATAAATTAAAATATGCTTTCGACTGCACATTTCTATTCGATTTCGATACTCTTCTAGCGAATTTAATAAGTGTACTATAGTGTGCAGATTATGGGTTCCCTTGACGTATTATTTGTTTTTTTTTTATGTCCTTTCACGATTTATGTCTTATTTTTTCCAATCTGACAAGGCGAACTAGCCTTTTCAAAAGGTCAATTGTCTACCGATTTATGAAATGATAAAATTTAAAAAAGCAAAATCAATAGCACCCAGGCCGAAATTTTAAGGACACAACAGCAAAAGAGAAGGTCTCGCGCTTCTTACTTAAAATCATTGAAGAATCTTAGCATTTACAAACAAAGAGCACACAAATTCTTATTTTAGCACGAACCAACTCTGAAATTCTTAGATAGTAGGTTCGATTCCAGTAATAATTCTTTGGATGGGTAGGTATATTATTTACGTCCCACGAGAACTGCGCAATGATCTATCGGCAATGGTCTGGGAAACAACCCTGAGGATGATCCGAAGATATGCCATCACAATTTTGATCCACTGCAGAAGGGATGTTTCCTTCTCTTCGGTAGCTCGATGACCTGGATGCGAAGACCAGCACTTAATGGTAGAACAGTTAAACGAAGACCAAAATCGCGCACCCTCGGTCCCTACTCAAGCTGATCAAAGTGACTAACCACCCGTTTACTGACAGAGTATAATGCTTGACTTCAGCTTTCTTCTGGGATCCGTGTCCTTGCGATCAATCTACTTTGGGACCTTTAGAATCTTCCTTGGTAAAACAACGTTATGTTTTTCTGTAATTAGCGTTATTACCTTTTATTTTAACAATAAATGTATAAGTCATTTTTGTAGGAAACCAGGGTGGCTTGATACTGTTGCTGCTGTTACTTATGCCATTCGCCAATACCAGCAGGCCTGCTTGGCAGAGTCAAGCAAATTTTTAAGGCAGAGGGAGCGTTTCTTGTTTTTCAACGGCGCCATCAATGGCCGAGAATACGACTTCAACAAAACACACGTCACGGCCCATTTTACAAAGAGGACCCAATCATTTTCCCTTCATTTATCAAAAGATAGTAATTTTGACCTGAACCAGAAAACGATCAACCTCCGATTCAGTACCCCCAGAGGTAAGGATTTGTTATATTAACTTGAAGGACTTTGTGACCCCGGCAGATTTAACATGCATGACTTGATACTGAATTGAAGAAGAATCCCTTATCTTCTGAGTTTGACTCAAAACTGAAAGAATCCCACTATTAAATATTCCCCACTATAGAATTTTTATAAGCCGGAAAAAATAGAATAAAATTATTATATCTACAGGTTATAAATATAGGCTATGTTATAGATTATTCTCTATTTTATTTTTTTGGAACCAAAACACGGATTTAAATTGTTTGCAAATGATCATGCACATGATTAAAAACGAGATGGATTTCGTATTCTGTATTTTATACATCATAAAAGAATAAATATCTGAAATATATCTTCTAAATTTTATGCTGTTCAAAAACTTAAGGTGTATTGCAATTTATGCACTTTTAATACAACTTACACAATTATGCACAATTAATGCAATTTTAAGATGTAATGCAAATTTCTAATTTATTGCATTTATTTTACTTTTAAATAATGTAATTGACGCATTTTATTTTAAATGATATTTAAAAAATATAAAGACATTGCTAGTTTCTTTGAACAAGCGATTTAAAAAATGCAGATATTTCGGAATCGTGTTCACGTTATCAATTTTTGTAATAAATCTTGATTTAAAAATTTTTTAATCAATTTTTGCCGCAGGAATTTGTTTTTAAACTTTAAAAGTTATTAATTTGTCTTCATAATTCGAGAATGATAAGATGAAAGATTCATTTAAAATATATGACAAAAGCAATTATTAATATCGTTATTTTAAGTTTAATAAAATCAATTTATGAATAGGGGATAATACTGTTTTCTCCCTTACATTCAATTTAAGAGAATTATTAGATACAGCGCCATCTGTTGTTTACTGTATAAATCTTAAATAGGTTAGTAAGAAAATAAGTGACTTTCAACCAATTAATCTTTTGGAAACTCGTATATCCATTTCATGCTTTCTTCGTTCCTGGAGTTAGATTTCCAAATCATTACGAACGAAATTTTCAAAGTCTTAATATTGATCAATCATGTTTGCTGTAATATATCATAGGAAAGTGAGAATATTTTTAGACTTTTCAAGAAATTTAAAGCTTTACAACATTTAAAACTTTTGAAATTATTTAAATTATCAAAACTATTTAAACACATTTCTAATCTAAAATGAAATATTTTTCTTTAAAATATTATAGTTTTACAAAAATTAAAAGATAAATTGAGCTTTATTTAATGACAATTATATGATTAAAATATATTGTTTCTAATTTAACTTTTAAAAGTTTTAATTCCTGATTCGAATCATACTTGTATCAAAATGGCTAAATATAATATTTTTAATATATATACATATTAAAAAAGTAGAACAAATTATATATAGCCGTTTTGATGCAAGTATGATTCGAATCTTTAGTACAGCTGCTAAACTTAATGCATCTAGAAAGTTAAAATTAATATGAAATTAAATGAATTTATGTTAAAATTATAACATGACTTACAAGTTTAGTTGTACCAGTTGAAAGGACGATCGAGTTAGATATTTAATCTTACTTCTATTGTTTAATGAAACTTTTTTTAAATAATTATTATATTTTTTTCCTGTTCTTCTATGTACAGAGCTTAAAACAAAAAAAGGAGAACATCTTAATAACGCATGATCTAATAATAGAATTTTCATGTAAAAATTTAATTTTAACTATTCTATTAACTCTATTACTAAGATATTAACATCATGTATCATAATATAATAATTAAATTTTATAATATTTATCTCATTTTCTTTTTAAGCTGAATCAAAAGAGCTATTTTTTTCTCAAGAACTTTTAAATCGATTCCATTCAAATTTTTTATTTCGTCGTATTTAATTACAGGAATATAAATTATGTAAAAATTTTAATGTCGAATGAGTCAATAAGATTTTGACTATTTTTTGAAATAAAAAACATAAAATAATGAACAACTATGAAAAGGCATCTTTTGCTTTTAATTACCCTTCGATTACATGAAAAGTGATTCTTCCAATTGCTATTCACTATCGCTTATTTGGAGAATTATCAGCTATTCTTTTTTTAAAAAAAACTTATATTTCCAAAAATGTCTACAAACGAAATGGAATAGACCAAAATCTTCATATAAATTATTAAACCTAAAATGCTAAGCTTAGAAAGCAATTTATTCTGATTTGCGAGGAATTCTTAATAGTATTTAGTTCTCATTCTCACAGATGGCGCCTTGCCCAGTGATGTAAAAGTCAATAAATATTTAGATTCCATTCAGACGCTATGACGTTAATATCATTCTTCGTTAATTAATAAATTCGCTATTGAATTTATTTTCTGCTATAAAGCGTTTTGTTATAATTTAAGCATCATACCCATCTTATATGGATTAACGAAATACGAATTTACAAATGAATGAATGAATAAACATTGACCTCAAGATTATCGTATTTCATTAACTCTTTCTAGCATCTTCCGTGTTTGCTATAT